AAAGCGTAATTACTATGACTGTAAGTGAATTAACATTCCTTCCTGCATCTACTTAAAAAAATAAAATACACAGTTAACATACCCAATGCCACTACCTACCACTTCATGTCCTGCATTGGTGTCTGTGTAAAAAGGAGAAAGCATAGATGGAGGGACCCTAGATCTATCATTTAATGGCATGCACAGTTTGTTTAGCTTATTTTTACTTAATAACAAAGACATTCATAATGAATTATCATACAAAACCAACCTTACAAAAGCTCTATAGTTCTAAATGACAAGACTTATGTGAGTCAATTACCTGTATTGTGGTCATCCAGATATATGTTCTAGGGTTGCTGTTTTTAAAATTTGTTGGTTACATAATGTGATCAGTATAATCATAAAATAAAATGGCCAGTCTTATGTGGTCAAGGCATCACATCATGCCTTTCCTTCTAGAGTCCACTGCTCCTCAAAATCTACTTCAGTATACCAAATTACTACCCTGAAGTGCCTTCTGGTTCTTCATACCTAGTATACACAGAGAGTAGAAGCAGTGGTACTCAGGCTGCAGCTCATGGACACTTTTGCAACTGCCATCAACCAAAAGAGCCATGTATACTTTTATCCCTGTCATGAGTCCTGCACTTCAGGGAGGGCTGTAGCTTATCTGTTCCTCAGGTGATAGCTGTTTCAAGGTAGAAACCTGTCAATTACAAGCCCCACTGTGCAAGACCTTGCCCACTTTCCGGAAATATGGGGCAAGTGCCACATTGGGGAACAGTGCTCAAAAGAGCCACTGGGCATGAAGCTGGTGAAACCTATACTGTGCCACATGCGGGCTGTCTTCATGGATTTCTCTTTACTTTTTTTTTAAAAGTGCCTGGATACAGTTGTGTCTCACAGCAGTTTGACATCCCATCCTCATTACATGCTGACAAGACATTCTGTGCATCTAAACAAATGCAGTAGATTGTGACCAATAATGTCATGCAGCAATGAGAAACACAGTCAAAATACTATCTAGCTAATTTATGAAAATTATACCTGATGGAAAGATATTCAGTGGCTTCATGGAGAAATGCAATTACAAAAGATGTTTGTAACTACAACCTGAAATACCAGCAGATTGATTTTAACCTTTCTCCCATTACCTTTCAATGTTAAAACAAAGTCCTAATTCTCCAACTTACATTTATTCCACAAAGCTGGTTGACACAGGAATTACTCTAGCAGGTGGTCTTGTGTGGTTTTAAGAGAAATGCAACACAACCAACAGGGTGATATTATATTTCCAGGATACTGAAATAAATCTAGAAGTAAGACTGACTCCAAAAGCAAGCCTAATTTTGGCACTGAAATATTCAGTGTTCCATAAAGACCATTATTTCTTTTGACCCTGAGATTTAATTGATGCTTTAAAACTAAACAGATTACCCATTTAAGGCAGCTGAGTTGGCCTTTAGCCTTTGTATTGCATGTCCCAATGCCAAGCAAATTAATCTGTTACCCTCACGCAGATTTGTTGAAGGTGAGTGCCAAAAATGGAACATGTATACTACACAGAATCTTAAATAATTAGCCTGATAAGAATGTTAAAACTATCATTCTATAGTAATGCTCTTTCTTTGCATGAAAAACACTGATAGAATTATTTCCCTTGGTAAAGGGCCAAACATATGGTTTCCTTAACTTGATTCAAGCACACCTGGCCAAATAAATGCTAGAGACCAAATTCACTGTACAGCTTTCTGTACTGTGCAAATTTTTGAATACATGAGATAAGAATGGCCATGATACCTATGAGTACAGTACAGGCCAAAAATACCACACTATTTTAACAGTAAATCAGTAGCTAGATTTTAAGTAGGAACCACCTGGCCAGACTGGCAGGGTAAAAGCCAATGGAAACAGATGGTGCAAAATCTTTACACAGCTGAAGTGCTAATCAGAATTTGGTAATTTGGAGTGAAATCTTTTTTTCAGCCTAAACAATGAAAAGTGAAATCACAAAGCTACTGTAAGTGGCATAAGGCAAAAACAAACAAAAATTCTGAAAACTAATTGTGGATCAAACTACAAGTGGCTGCAAATGCCTTAGAAGTACATGAAGTACAAGAAGTACATGACTGATTTTGCTGTTACTGCCTCTGTATTCTTGCAGTCAGATGATCTAAGTTGATAGTTCATTATATGTTCAAAAGGTGAAGTATAATACTAAGTGTGGACTATCACCAGGGCATGATGGTTGGATATCTGCTGAGGCCCACCATGTGACAAAGATTCCAATGCCAATTAGAGACACTTGGGATCATATACTCCAATTAGAAATGGGAGCCCCATCATAGGGGTGCCTTTTTCACCTGCTGGGACCAACTGTGCAATTATGTACATACAAGGAGCAAACAGAGTAGAGGACAGTGTGGTAGTACTGAAGGAAGTGTGTCTAGTAGGGAGACCACTGGCAAGCATCTGAAAGGAGCAGGGAAAATAGATTGAGAGGAACACCGCTGACAACTGCAGTGTCTTCACTGTTTGCTTTTCTTGTTCCAGGTATATTATCTTGGGCATGACTGTCTGGATCTGCCAACCACTCAGGCAGCGGGACCAGATTCTCCCACCTTTTCACAGACACCCAACCTGGGAAAACTCCAATACTGACAGGAGACCAGCCAACCTGACAGGCTACTGATGATCCTACCTTGGCCCCTCAGACAGGAGGAGAGACTCATGAGGCAGTCAACGGAGGCAGTGGCAAGAAAAAAATGGCCCAGGCCTGACAGAGCTGGATCCCCAGCAAAGACAGGGTGAGTCGCAGAAGATGCCCAAGCACCAGGAGGGGGTGGGGTGGGGGAAGGGCTTGACAACTAATCCTGGCAATGGCAGGGAGGGCACAGTCAGGATCAAGGCTAGCCGAGGTCAGGCTGAGGCCTCAGTCTCAAATGAACCCCACTTATGAGTGGGCCATGGTGACAGGGTAGGGGGACAGGGCCGATGGGTGTGGGTGCGGGGAGATCTATAAAATGAAGATTCCGGTGATGGCCTAGGAGGAGACGATGGAGAAAGGCCTGAGTTGTGGAAGGGTGAGACCAAGATGGGGCAGCGAGGTCAGCAGCAGCAGGGATGCCAGGAGTGCAATTGTGGAGGATTCATGGAGCCCAAGCAGAGGTGAAGTAACTCCCCGCCATGAGGCAAGTCATTTGAGGCCTGAGGAACATCTCTGGGACCTGGATTAACTTTGGATGTAAGGGTGTCATGGCAGAGGGTGGACCTCCGGACTCTATAGTATTATACCCTGCTGAAGTCCCTCCCCTCCCCAAACCCCACCCTCCCCAGGATCCTCCCCCAAAACTCCCATGATTTCCCACCCAGGCCTGGCAACCCCAGGGCTTTTTTGTACAAAAAGCCCAGCAGGAACTCATTAGCATAATAGGCCATACCCAACAGCAGGAAACTCATTAGCATATTAGGCCACACCCCTGACAGCACAGCTCATTGGCATATTAGGCCACATCCCATGTTACCAGAAGTGTGCTCATCCAGCCACACGCACCTTTTGCTTCTTATTCGGTTTACCTTGTTTGTTGTCAAAACCCTGGGCTTTTTTTGTAGCGGGAACTGCTTTGCATGTTAGGCCACACACCCCTAATGTAGCCAGTCCTAATGAGTTTCTGCTGTTGGGTGTGGCCTATTATGCTAATGTGTTCCTGCTGGGCGTGGCCAATTGGGGAGCCAGCCGGAACTCCGCTCCTGTGCGTTCCTGCCCAAAAATAGCCCGGGGCAACCCTATCAGTGAGTGAAACTTCAAAGCTGTCAGCAAAATATGAAGGGGTCAGAAAAGCATCTAACTCAATGTGTATGGATTTGCATTCAGAAACTGTCGTTTAGTATCTGCATGATCAAAATTACTTTAAAAAAGAGCTGTGCCCAAAACTAAAATTACATAGCAAATAATAAAGATGCACAAATCTTTATGATGTAAAAGACAGTAAATTCCCAAATATTTCATGTTAGAAATGATCTTCTTCAGAATCTTCTCTCCTGTTGCTACCCACTTGGGGAAAAAGAATTGTTAGATCCTATTTAGATGGAGCAACTTTATGTAAGGGATTTTTACCACCTTCTCCTAAACACAAAAACTCCAGTGTGCTCTCCAAAAGCTACTCCTAACACTGAGTGTAAACATTCAAGAGCAACACAGGAGGCGGTATGGCCCCAGAAGAAACGGTCAGCAGAAATTCCACTGATCTGTATACAAATTTCAGGGAAACTTGTTCAAGAATAATGTCGGGGGGCTACTGATTCCTTCTTCTGGATACAGTCCCCCCTCACTGGAGACGTGGCCATGGCTAAGTAGAAGACTATCTGCTTTGTATGCAGAACAACCCAATTTCAATCACTGTTATCTCCAGTTTAAAATAATCAGGTAGTAGGCTATGTGAAAGGCCTCTGCCTGACATGCTGGATGGCCACTGCCAGTCAGAGTAGACCGATACGTCTGTCTCAGTATGATGTCAGAATTTTTTTACTTCATTTGTTCACTGCATCCCATTCTGTTCCCAACAGACTCAAAGGGCTTCAAATAGATCTATTCCGAGTGTGCAGGAAGCCACAATGGGAAGGAAAAGGAGGCAACCAGTCACTTCTGCAAACTGTCTGCTTGCAGTTCAACAGAATACAACTGATTAAACTATATCCTTGAAGCCTACTATTTGGCTCAAAACACACTGGAATGAATTATCTTCATGATATGAAAGTTTTTTGCAGTCTTGTGCTTTGCCATTTATTTTTCTTTGCCGCTTAAAAACAGGTGGTCACATGCATTCAACACTAAATCAATCCTGACCAGAAGGCAATAAAATTAATGTTCTAGGTTTTTCTTAAAGTCAATATCAATAATTTCCAGTAAGAAATTCCTAATAATGCCAGTCATAAAACTCAGCATTTGCATAATCACATGGGTCTAATAAAACTTTGTGAGCATCCTGAGTTTTTCACAATGTTGGCTTTGTACTCACCCATCATGTTGTACAAGCTCTGTGGTGCAAACTGCCTTGGCATCTTCTGTATTGCTTCTTTGTAAACTGTGAGGGCATCCTAATATGGAAAAGTACAGGAAAAATCATTTCGGGAACCCTGTGGCTTCAGAAGTAATTTTTATATGCAAATTTAATAGAGGAACAATGCAGAGTGGCCCTCATTAATCATGAGGAGGATCACACTACCCATTTATAAAAAAAGGAGGCAACAAATGAGGTGCATCTCCTCTACAATCTTACACAGAATGATTTAAATTATTAACCATCTCACTGGAGAACGGGAAAATGGAATGTCTGACAACCTTCAAAGGCTCATTATCCCACATTTAAAATTTTGTGGAACTACACAAAATACAAGCTAGTGTTTAACTACACGAGCATTTTTGTCATTTTACACTGCAATTCTAATAATCACATAATGATAGCTTTCAATCTAATATACACACAAATTCCCATTACACAACATATTATTCCAAACAAAAAGATAAGATGAATATGAAGAACAAGTACATAAAATAAAAAAGAAGCTTCACCTTAGGCTTTCTTAAGCTGTGCACAATCAGGTAAAAGTGGTCTCTTTATTTCATGACTGTTAAACGACAGCTTGAAATTTATTTTCATTCTCACTTTTCTTTATGACATTCTCCCTTCTACTCTGCAGCCCTTTAAAAGTAGCACTCTTAGTGCAAATCAAGTTTTTCTTTCCTCAATTAAAACAACAACTATGAAGGAGTATAATTATCTTGGCTCTGAAACTTGTCACTTAATTAATCTCAATGCACAATCACTTAGAGCTAGTAGTGGTTGGGAACATGACAGTTGCTAGAAAGGGTCCCAACAAAGTGACAGTCTTTTAAAAAACAAATAACCCAAGCTGTATTGTACACTCTTGGATTCTTTTCCATAGTACATCTCTCCTTATATATAATTCTGTTTTGGTCATGGACTCCCCTGAAGATTCCAACATGCTCCCAAATCAGTTCGCTCCCAGATCTGTCATTCAGAGGGTCTCCCTATCCACTGGCTGCATTGCCTGAATCCTGTCTCCAACATTCTAAACAGTTTGCTGTTCCTCTCCCCCCATAGCCAGTCAGAACACAGAGGTCGTTTGCATATGTGGCCTCATTGGCCTTTGCCTCTAATATTCTAAACAGTTTGCTGTTGCTGTTCTGAGGTAAAACGTGTTCTGAGGTACCCTTATTGCCTGTTGGGAGAAACCATTGTTGCCAATCTCCAGGTGAGGGCTGAAGATCACTCAGAATTACAACTGCTTTCCAGATGGCAGAGATCAGTTCCCCTGGAGAAAATGGTGGACTTTGTGTCCTTATATCCTGCTGAGATGGCCCCTGTATGACAGCCAATGTGACGTAGCAGTCAGGGCTTCAGAGCACGGTAGAGGCTGCAGGTGGGGAGGGGTGGAAAGCAGAAGAGTGCGGGGAAAATAAAGGTTGGTTGGTAATTGGTTGGGAAGGAGATAGGGTTGCCAAAAAATGGTGGACTTGGTGTCATTATACCCTGCTGAGGTTGCCACAGCAAATTGACACTGAGTGCTCAAGGCCGGGGCACCCACCCAGAGCCTCTTTCTAGATCGCATTGTATTTATTTCCACAACGGGCCTTATTCCTAGTAGTACATAAAACAAACCTACTGCACAAATGTTCTGTGAAGGTTATCCATATAATCAGTGGAAATTATTTTTAATATTTAACAAATCAAACACTTAAGCAATTACTGCAACATGTACTTTGGATTTAGAGGGAGGGAAAGTCTCACCTCATACTGTCCCTGTTCATGATAGAGTTTTCCCAGATTGTAAAGGCAGCTGGTGACAGAGCTCTTATGAGCATGGGGGTCTTTTAAATTTTCATCAGGGATTTCTGAACACTTTAAAAATGTCCTCCTGGCATCTTCTGCCTTTCCTTGGTTCATCAAGATGATACCAGTATTTAAATAGGCAGCTGTGAGATGGGGAAAAAAATTATTTACATAATAATTATATACACACACATTCAAAACTGTGACAGCTGCAGTGGCTAGTACTTCTTTCAAACTTAGACTGGTCATTTGATATCTATAATATGGTCAAATTCTTTAGTTGCAGAACACCAGGCTACAACAAAAATTCTGTACAAAATAGCATAGTAGCCATTCCACAGCAATCAACACTGCTGCTCCCAAAATCCAGATGCAAATTAACAGCTGCCACTGCAAATGTATAAAAACTCTACCAACTACGACCTTTTCTTAATTTAAACAAATGATAGCTGAAACAGTTCAACAAACTGAGTTTCTAAAATGGGTCTGGAATGTCAGGCATCCTAACCTCTTCTCTAAATGACAATCTATCTCTAGAGAATACAGTGTATGATGAGCATTCCCATTCTGTTCTGGAAGAGAAGCTGCAATCCAGTGACTACTTGCAGGCATAAGGATCCTAATGAACAAACAAAGCTATCATCTCCTACAATTTGGATTACCTTCCTCGTATGTATGTGAAGAAAAATCCCTTTCCTCCCATACAAGGGAATTAATTAACTGCTGATTAAAAAAGGACTAGAAGTGTCACACCTAAAAGTGGAATTCATAACAGAGGAAAGGGATAATATATTTTAAAAAACAAACGAGCATGCAGCGTTACTTACAAGCTAAAGTAGGTCTGCTTCCAATGGCCAATTTATAGTAATGTAGAGCTTCTGAGAATCTGCTGCTTTCCTGCAGCAGCAATCCTCTAATTTTAAAAGAAAAAAATAACAGAAAGTGAAGTTATTCCATAGAAAATTATGAAAAATAAATCTACAAAAATCAGATGTACTGGTCTAAGTACTGACAAGGTCCTGTAGAGCCAGGGTGGTCCAGTGCTTAGAGCGTCAGATTAAGATTTGGGGGCAAACAAGATTTGACTGCATCCTCATGTCCACCACAGGGATGCCACGAACATTTTAAAGTGATGTTAAAATGACACAAGGACATGATCACAGTACAGTGGGGTGAAGTGCTCTTGTCCCCCCCCCATGCCTTTTCAAGTGCCGAAAAAGCTGTGGGTGTGCGCATGTATGTGTGAGCTTCTCAACTCATCGATTAGCCCTCACAGCATTTTTAAATCACTTCAAAATGGCAGCAGTGATACAAGGATGTCATTGCATCTAGTTTGACCCTGGGAGACCGAGGTTCGAATCCCCACTCTGCCATGGAAGCATGCTGAGTGATCTTAAGCCAGACACATACTTTCAGACTAACCTACCTCACAGGGTTGTAGTGAGGACAAAATGGAGGGCAAGAGAACAATGTAAGCCACTTTGGGTCTCCCACTGAGGAGAAAATTTATTTTTGCCAAGAAAGAACACCTTAGTGCATTTCTACAATTGTATATGTTTATTTGTTTAAAATAGTTCTACCCTACTTTCTTCCCAGTCTGTGGGACCCAATGTGGCTTGCATCATTAAGTCCACATTAAAGCAAGTAGAGCCAAAACAGAAGACAAACAGACACACAAAAAGGCTCTCTAGTTATCCATCAAGCTAACAGGCCTCCAGCCAAATAATATGTGTCCATTTTAGACTTAGAGATCCTCAAAATTAGAAATTTTTAAATTTCCCATTCAAATATGTTAATTTACTGCAAACAACTTTGGAAGTCCTGGTCTCCTATGCATGCTTCCTTAGATGAAGTAGGTAGCAGTGAGATAAGAACTTTCTTCACTATGATGCCCTGGTGGTGGAATATCCCAGCTGTCCTTTTGGTGCCACATCAAAACTTATTCTCCCTCCTCTCATACATTATTTCAGTTGAGGTTTCCCTCCTTTCTGTTCTGCTGTGTACCTCCTATTGATAGATACATTTTATACTACTTGCATTTATTGCATATATTATGCTGTTTGATTTTCTGGTGTTAAGATACTTGTGCTGTTTGTTTTGGTATCAATGCTATTCGATCTGAAGGGCTTCAACATTGTTAAAGCTGTTTTCACTGTATTTATAGATATGTCTACTTTATCTGTTTGCTGTACCCGAGTTGCCGCATGACGGAGTGAGCTCCCGTCTCTAGTTCCAGCTCCTGCCAACCTAGCAGTTCGAAAGCAAGAAATTGCAAGTAGATAAATAGGTACCACTTCAGTGGGAAGGTAACAGCGTTCTGTGCGCCTTGGTGTTTAGTCATGCCGGTCACATGACCATGGAAACATCTTCGGACAGCGCTGGCTCTTCGGCTTTGAAATGGAGATGAGCACCGCAACCCTAGAGTCGGATTCGACTGGCTTTCGAGCAAGGGAACCTTTACCTTTACTTTTTAAACCATCTCAAGAACTAACCTGCTAGAGAATGCAGGATATAGATGCATCAAATAAATGTTAAAAAAATGAGCTTTCATGATATACAGCAACAAGGAAGAACACAAAAAGGAGAGGCAGATAAAATGAATGCTAAGGGTAGCATAAAGCCACTTAATATTATTGGTTTTAAGCAGTAAAATAGTGTTAAAATAAAATCCTAGGGTTTGAATCAGTGGATAATCTCTACTTTCAATGTACTAAATCCAGAGGAAAATGTTACAAACTATAGAAAACATCTTTATAGCAAGATCTATATTGATTTTTATTTCTATTTTCCTTCTTAGCTGCATTGCGTTCAGCCTTCACATTTTCAAATTCATTCACAATTCAGTTATGAAATTTGTATAATAGTATGAAGCAGTGCTGTTGTAGCTAATGGTGAATTCATGCACACAGATGCACAAAATATTGTCTTGACAGACAGACAAATGAATGGGTGTATCAATACACATATATTAATATATTTAATAGTCAACATGGTCCCGTCTGTGAATATTTACATTCACTGACTGGGACCATGTTGGCAGAAAACAGATATTTCTTCAAATTTGATAGACCCTGCCGGCTTACAGAAAAGTCTGGAAATCGAGCACCAACAACAGCACACCACCACCACCTCTCAGGTACTGCCAGAGTTGCCACCCCCTGTCACTTCAGCCTGGTGGCAGTGCTGCTATGGGTGGGCAAGTGAAGGAAGAGGTTCAGGCACTTCTGCCAAGCAAGCAGTGAAAAATAATGGGAGAAAGATGCCTGGGAAAAGGCAGGTGGAGGATTGAAGGCAAACAGGTACCTCTTGACTACCATGGAATCTTAAGTCTGTTTGTCTTGCAATGCTTTTGTTTAGTTTTTTTAAAGCCGCCCTAACCACAAAACATTTGAACCAGCATGTCAAGCATAAACATTTTTATAATACCCAATAAATTAGCAAGAAATCAGTTTTAATATAATGCTATCATCCCTTATCTAGTATAGGCAGACTAACACAAAACAGGAGTGCAAAATAGTGTATATTATTGTTTTCCAAATAAACTAAACACAGGTGTTATTACGAGAAAAAAAGCTTGAGACAAACATTTTGAAACTGTCATTAGTTCTTTCTTGCAGGATCCACAGCTGAATTTATATACTTGTTGCACTTAACTATAGGACTGTAACAACTCTGATGCAACCGACTTACCTCATTGCTACTCTTGTTGTATTGCTGTTCACATAGCTTGAGAAGTGACTGGAAATTCAGACAAATATTGAAGTTTAGGGCCTACAGCTAAGTTTGCGCTCTCTCTCTCTCCTGTCTCTCTGTCTCTTTTGCTGTCAAGTCACAACTGGCTTATGGTGATCATGTAGGGTTTTCAAGGCAAGATATGTTCAGAAGTGTTTTGCTATTAAAAAGGTAAAGGTTCCCTTGCTTGAAAGCCAGTCGAATCCGACTCTAGGGTTGCGGTGCTCATCTCCGTTTCAAAGCCGAAGAGCCAATGCTGTCCGAAGACGTTTCCGTGGTCATGTGGCTGGCATGACTAAACACCAAGGTGCACGGAATGCTGTTACCTTCCCACTGAAGTGGTACCTATTTATCTACTTGCAATTTCTTGCTTTCGAACTGCTAGGTTGGCGGGAGCTGGAACTAGAGACGGGAGCTCACTCCATCATGCGGCACACTCGGGTCTCGAACTGCTGAACTACCGACCTTCCACAGCCTGCAGTTCAGCGTCTTAACCACTTGAGCCACCACAGCTCCATGTTTTGCTATTACCTGCCTCTGAATAGCAATCCTGGAAGTCATGGGTTGAACATAACAACAACCCCCACACACAACACGGTATTTTTTGAGTTCAGGTATATTGAACCCGAAAAATATTGGTATTTCCTGATATTCCTGAATCCAACATCGGTATGGTATTTGGATTCTGTGGAAATATTCAGGAAACCTAATGTTTTTTTTTGCTCCATTATACCCTATGTGGACCATTATAGCCAATAGTCCCCATCTCTCCTTATATATAATTCTGTTTTGGGGTGAATGTTCCACACACTCCCACAGCATTTGTCTTGCTGACCTGTCACTCCAATGGTGTGCCAATTCAGTGGCTGCGTTGTTGGAGCCCTGCCCATAGAAGGGATGGCCAGCGTCTCGGCCTCAGTGTTGTGCGGGGTCTCTCCAAGGTGGCGGGAAGGAGCCAACCCCACTCGGCCCTAAGAGACAAAGGCTCCGAGCGTGTAGGCCATCCCAAGCAGGCCTCACTGGAGTGGCAGAAGCCCGGCAGCTACTGACACATGCCCAGGAACATGCAGCCGGAGAGCGAGAAGTGGTGCCACCACTCTCAACAACGGAGGAGCACCACAATACATGCTGGGTAACGCCACTCGCCTCTTTGCTGTGGCACGCTCAGAGAAGGCTGAGACCGTCTGGATGCAGTGGTGCCGCCGATGGCAGCAGCACCCTGCTTTCCCTGCGCCTGGCCTTGGCGTGGTCTCTCCAAGGTGGCGGGTGGAAGCTGATCCTGCTCGGCCTGGAGAGACAAAGGCTCTGAGCATGCAGGTCAACCCAAGCAGGCCTTGCCGGAGCAGCAGAAACCTGGCAACCACTGACACATGCCCAGGAACATGCGGCCGGAGAGTGCGAAGCAGCGTTCTGAATGATGGTGGCGCGCCAGAATATGTGCCAGGTCCCACTGCTCGCCTCTTTGCTGCAGCTCGCTCAGAGAAGGCCGAGAGTGCCTGGAGGCAGCAGAGGTGACTCTACATGCCTGCTGTGCCCCCCCCTCTTTTTAGAGCTTGTTGTATTGCTTTTATACAATGGTCTTTGCTCCTAGTAGGATATAATGACAAGTGATCTGGGTATCTGTGGCTCTGGGGGGGGGGGCTGTTTTTTTAGGTAGAAGCACAAAATTTACAGCATAGCTGCTGGTGCCTCTCCTCAACTGCCCCCCCAAGTTTAAAAAGATTGGACCAATCTATGAGCCCCAAAAGAAGGTGCATTTAAAGGGCTCACAGACCTTTTAAACACCTTCAGAGTTCACTCGCTACAGAGTTGCAGAGCTTGGAGAAGACATTTAAAGGGGCCACAATCCTTTTAAATGTCCTTCACATTCACCTACCCAGTGGTCTGAAAAATGCTAGATTGTTGAGATTTTTAGGGCAAACAATATTCAAAATCTATATCCGGATGAATTAATAACCCCAAAATACCGATAAGGTGTTTACCAGGTATTTTTTTGGTTTTGATGTAGCTGAACACACACCCCTAGTCAGGTCCATAACTTTTTTAAAAAAAGACATTTAATAAGGAGATTGGTCTATAGTTTTTAATTTCCTTCTCATCTGAGTTTTGCTTATGTATCCGTGATAGGGTTTCATTCCAAGTTTCTGGTATTTTACCTTCAGCTCTTATGCTCTGTATTAC